CCTCATTGCTTCCAAAATCGCTACTGCATCTGCCTCATTATTTGTACCATGTGTTATTTCCTTTCCTAGTGCGTAGATTACATCTCCTTGTTCATCTCGCATCACATAACCTATGGAACTCCTTCCATAATCTCCTCTGCTCGCCCCATCTGTATTGACCTTGATCCACCCTTCATTAGGTAGTTCCCAGATCACTTTTGTCTCCTTCAAATCTGGAGTATACTTCTCTAATTCTTTAATCAATTCAGGCCATTTGTGAGGTACATTTTGCATGCTAGGTTTCCTTATTTTGACAAGCGACTGTAAGGTAGTAGAGACTTGGTATATAACTCGACTTATTGTCACCACCTGTCCATATTTCTGGCTATTTCTTCTTTTCCATAGCTTCCACACAATGATAGCTGGTAACGCTTGTAGAATATGCTACAGACGATGTACAACTTTTGCTGTCCAGCATTTCATAATTGCTTGGTGCAACGACAAACCTTCCATGGTAATTCCTGCATTTGTTAGAAAGTAGGTCCATACTCTTGTTGCTGCATCAGATGTAAAAAATAAATGAGGCATTGATTCTTGTTGTTGAGCGCAACACCAACATTTGGATGGCATAGAATAGCCCAATCGTCTCATCCAATCATCTAAAGGCAGTTTTGCTTTCCAAACCTTCCACAAGAAGAAAGATATTTTAAATGGTAATCCTTTTGTCCATAATTTACTGTACGCAGTGGCTGGATCATTTCTTTTTCTCAAAAACTCCCAGGCAGACTTCACACTAAAACTTCCTCTTGTTTCCAACATCCAAAATGGTTTATCCAAAATATCAGATGCAACTGGAGGCTTTATGTACTCTATGATATGTGTAGCATACTCCTCTGGCAATAGCTCCTTTAATTTGTCTACATCCCATGCACCTTCTTGTACCACATCATGCATATTATTAACAGATTCATCAATGACCAAATCTGGAGGAGTAATAAAATATAATGCTCCAAGCCCCGTCCAGTTTTCATACCAAAAGAGAGAGGAACCCATTCGTGGATGCCAACCAATTTGATGTTCGACAATATCCCCGCATTCTATCATCTTTCTCCATATATGAGATCCACGACGCCAAGGGACAATAATAAGATTGAGTTTCTTGCAATATTTTTGACTCACGAACGAACTCCACAAGGTAGGTTTCGTTCTAAAATTCCACCACAACTTACAGAATAATGCTTTGGAGACATCATGAAGAGATCTAAAACCTATTCCTCCCTCATCACATGGAAGACATAGGTTAGCCCAAGAAGACCAATGTCTACTTGTTCCACCCACAGGACTACACTAGAAGAATTGTGCAAACATCTTATGCAACTTGTTTATAACATTTGTAGGGGGGTTCACAGCAGATAGTAGATGAATAGGAATATTTTGTATAACATGCGAGATCAAAATATATCTTCCTCCGATTGAGAGTAGTTTACCTTTCCATGCTTGTAACTTGTCCATAACTTTGGTGAGTAAATTTTGGTAATGATCCAACTTTCTTTTTGTATAAAAAATAGGACACCCAAGGTAAGTAAAGGGAAAATCTTGCATGTTAATCCCAGATATCCTCTCAACCTTATTTACCACCTCCACAGGAGTATTATGGTGCAAATATACAGCAGATTTCGACTTGTTAATAAGCTGTCCAGATGCAGCTTCATAATCAAATAGGACTTGCATTATTAATTGCAATGAAGTTGCATCCGAGGAGGAGAAAATAATAGTGTCATCGGCATATGCAAGATGGTTAATCTTAGGACTCCATTTAGGCAATCCAAATCCACAGAAATGCAAGTTCAAATGTAATGCATTCAAACCTCTTTATAATGCCTCAGCTGCAAGAATAAAAAGAGTAGGGGATAGAGGGTCTCCTTGTTTCACTCCTCTTGTCGACTTGAAGAAACCATAAGGCTGCCCATTTATCATTACAGAATAATAATTGTTTGAGATGATACCAAACACCAGACCTATGAGTCTTTCTCCAAACCCCATATTTCTCAAAACCTTAGTCAAAAAAAGCCAAGAAAGTCGATCGTAGGCTTTAGCCATGTCTAACTTTATCACCACATTTGGCCCTGCTTTAGTCCTTAGTCTAATATCTGTAATTATTTCTTGAGTTAGCAGCACATACTCAACGATGCTTCTCCCTTTAATAAATTATGTCTGCTCATCTTATATTAGATTAGGAAGCATTCCAGCTAGCCTTTCATGAACAACCCTCAAGAAACCTTTATTTATAAAATTGTTAAGGCTAATGGGTCGCATGTTAGAATAAGTCAAAATCTGTTTCTTCTTAGGTAATAGCACCAAATTTGTGTGAGTCACAAACTTTGGTAGATTATGCCCATTGAATAAAGCTCTAACCATGTCATAGACATTATCTCCGACTATATCCCAGCATGCTTGAAAGAAACAACCAGTGAATCCGTCTGGTCCACCTGCACTGTCTCCATTGAGCCCAAACACTGCCTCTTTCACTTCGTCTTTGTTAGGTTACCTCAAAAGCATATCATTCTGCTCATTATTCACCATGTGTGGCACATGATCCAATATGTCAAATGCATCAGGAACCTTATCTTCATGAAATTGATCAGTGAAATATTTTACAGCTTCCTCCGCCATAGCTACTGAATCTTCAATCCAATTGCCCTCGCTATTTTGGATTCTCTTCAATTCCAACCTTTTCCTTCTTCCCATGACTTGCGCATGAAAGAATTTTGTGCTCCTATCTCCATCTTTGAACCATGACAATCCAAATTTTTGTTTCCAAAATTCCTCCTCTAGCGTTAAGTATTTTATGAACTCAGCTTGAACTTTCATAAGTCTTTCTCTATTCTGAAAAGAAGGATTAAACTCGAATTGTGCTTCATGAACTAAGACCACCTCTTCCAAACTAGCAATCTTTTCAAAAATGTTTCCAAATGTAGCCTTGCTCCAGATTGAAAGAGATTTCTTCACCTTTTTGAGCTTGTGATTGAACAAAGTGAAAGGGTTCGCATGAAAGTCTGTTGTCCAGTTTTCTGCTACTGTATTTTTGAAAGTTGGATTTTTTGTCCAGAAATTCAAAAATTTGAAGGACCTCTTGATTGGGACTGTAGAGGCCTGTACACTCAACATCATTGGGCAGTGGTCAGAACTAATTTTGGAAAGATGGATTACTTCTAAACCTGCAAACATCTGTTGGAATTCTGCATTTGCTAATATTCTGTCTAGTCGCTTGAAAATGCAGTCATCTTCACCTTGACCATTCCACAAAGTGTAAATACTTCCTTTAAATCCAAGATCGAAAAGGTTACAAGTATTTACACAATGCCTAAAATCAAAAACCTCATTCATGTGGACGGGTCGGCCTCCAAATTTTTCTTCTTCATCCCAGATAACATTGAAATCTCCTCCCACTAGCCAAGGAAGATCCATATCTCTCGCAAGTGCATATAAGCTGTCCCACAATTCAATTCTTTCAGTAGAGTCACATTTTGCATATACAAATGTAACAATAAGTGACCTTCCAGAATCCATGTTTGTTATTTTTAGTGTCATCTGTTGGTCCATATTGATAATGATATCAACACCATGATCTTCATCAACAAATACCCATATTTTGTTTGAAACATTTGCGTAAACTTGTAGCATTCCAATCTTTCTTCTATACCATTCTAATTTCGTGGCTCTTTGCATTAGTTCCATGATACCTATAAATTGAAAATGATGTTGCCTCTGCATAATGACCAGCCTCTCAAAGGCTTTCATTGTATTCACCGATCTCACATTCCAAAATAGAGCATTCATCATTGATTATGCGATTTGGATTGGGTCCTTCTTGTTTGAACCCCAGGTGGAACTACACTTTGATTTTCTTTAGATTGCTTCTTTTTACCTCTCCCAACAAATTTCCCTTTCTCTATTGCTCTAGGTGAAAGATCACCTTGTCTTGCTACATTCTTAAAGTTTTGAGTCGTTGATTCTTCATCCATGTCTCTCCCTTTGGTTTCCACATTTTCATCATCACCATGGCCCTTAGGAGTAGTAATGATTTCATTTTTTCCCTGATTAGGAATCAACGATCTCCCTGCACTCTCCTTTCCTTGATCTCCTTTGGCAGTAGTTATAGTCAATGGAACAGTGACTCTTTCTGGAGAAAGCTGCCCTGCATCGTTGAGCTGTACCATTGTAGTGACTTGTTTTTCTCCTTTATCACTGATTACTTCATCACCTATACCACTTAAGTCTCTTCTAGTGCCCCCCGGATCACCTGTCAATGAAATAACAGCATTACTCCTATCAAGAATGGAGGTACCTTCAGGGGGTTTAAGGCAAGTGTTCTGCATCTGACCAAATTGTTCAGTACCTTCACGCATTTTTGATGCTTTTGTGAATTGTGGGTTTTCATTGTGGTGTATCACAGCTTGTAAACCTTGTCCATTCACGCTTTGTTCCTCCTCTCCATCTTGATCATCTTCAGTTTTATTCAGATCTTCACTACAATCCTCATTTCCTAAGAATTCTCCTTCTTATGAGTCCTCCTCAATTTGTTCTGTCCATACCTTAACTTTGCCAATGTGAAGTTTTCCAGGTTCTTTATTAAACATATTTGGCTCGAGTGATTCTTGAAATGGTACTTCTTGACAAGAAGTATTTGTAGCCACTAAATTTTTAGCAAATGTTTGTTGTACCCATTGCGTTGTAGCATCCTTATTTGCTGCTATATTTTTCTTTCCTTTGGTACCTGCACTGCCTTTGTTACCTTTGTGTGACCCTCCAGTCCCAATAGTAATTGGATTGAATTTCTGGGCTGCTGGATTTAATGATTTTCCAGAAGGAAAAGGACTGTTTAAGGCACTTTGTTTATCACCCTCTGCTACAAGAGCCACTTGATTATTGTTCTGAGAAACTGCACCATTTTTCTGAATCACAACATCATCCTTCGTTTGTGGTTGCTTTTGGATAACCTCATCATTCACATCCTCCATTTACAACACCGCAAATTTATTCCCTATATGAGTCTGCTCCCTTGCACATTGGTTGATTGGTACTATTTCTTTCCCTGTTGTATTTTGGACTTCCTTTTGATTAACTGCGTGCCTTGTACGATTATCCCTAACCTCTTTCCACTGCTCATTACCCTTACCACTCACATTGCCTACCACCTTCCTGCTTGATAAAATCATTAAAGGTCCTTGCCGAGTTGAGCTTGATGGTACAATTGCCTTGTCAATATTTTTCGCAATCACATGTTCGGTCTGTTGCTCAGCATTTTTATTCCCCATTAGATCTGGATGAATCCTCCAACAGTCAATCATGTCGTGCCCCTGCAATTTGCACTCTTTACAATATTTGGGCAAATAATCATAGTTGATGGTCACCCATTCAGTCCTCACACCTCTAGTTGTCTCATTTTCGATGTCCATACGCACTTTCTTAGGTAAGTCAGTTAGGAGATCAACAAGAACTTTCACTCGCGCACAGCTCGGCCTCGTCTTATTAATTGTAGCCAAATCAAGATGGAGTGGCTTTCCCACAGCTGAAGCCAACGAAAAAAGACATTCCTTGACGAAATAATTTGGCAATAAATTTGGAAACGAAATCCATGCCATTACCTTTGGCGTTTCCTCACCAGCCTTGAATTTTGAATCATATATCAACGTGATTAATTGATATTCATTGCCAAGCTTGTCTTTCACATAATACACACTCTTCGAAGAAAATTCAATAAAATCTTGTTGTAGTGTCAAACGTATTAGTACATGCCTTTCGCGTAAGTATCTAATGGTACACTCTCCTTTAATCCCACATTGCAGCGGTACAATTCAACGTAGTTCATTGAGCTCAGGCCATCCATAAGAAAATTTGCACACTACTGCATAGTGCAAGCCTTCAATCTCGTTCATTCGCTCCACCTCAGATTCAGTGAACTTCACCAAAGGCTTTCCTTGAAAGAGCACTGGATGACGAAATGAAATTGTATCAGCAGTAAACTGTTTCATGTTTCCTTGAGCTTGTGCATTGATCGTGGCTGGCTTTAGAATGTTAGAATAATCTAAAGGCTTGTGTATTGTTGTGGGGTTGTTTGTAATGGAGGGGGGCATGGGAGGGCAGACCAGCCATTGGAGGTGACTGGTCGCCGGCCTTAGAGGCTATGATCGACTTCAACTTAGTTGCTCGTGTTTCCTCTCTCAAAAGCCCAGATTCTATCAACCTACAGTGGTCTTCGAACTGAAATGAAAATCAATATCTATACTAAGAAACCATGGTATTCTTTAGTACTCCATATAGCACTACAACACCTTAAATTACATCAAGATTAAGCTGTAGCTTTTTCCAAAAGAATCGTGATGCTACAGTAACTCAAGGAGATTTGAAATCTGTTGCGATGGTTATAGATTTAGCTGCAAAACTAAGAGTCACGAATTAAACAATGTTCTTCGCATCTCACAGATCACATCCATGATACATGAAGATAGTAGCTTTGATGTTTTTCGAATAAGCACTGGGTGCTACAGTACTTCGAAAAAGAAAATTAAGATCTGTTGAGAATAGCTAATGATTTAAGGATAAAATCAAAAGGAGATTGTTCACAAATAGAAGGGGTTCTTTTGAGACCAATCTTGTGATGATACCTTGCCGGATTCCAGAATTATGCCCGATGAATAGTGATGGAATTACTATTCATTGAGACGAAATTACTATTCATTAATTCCCCTTGTTCATATGCTTTTTTTCCTGTATTACTATTCCCTCTTGGGGATTTGAATGGGAAATTGAGGTCGAATTTTGATGAATTTGATATGGATAGACTCGTGAGTGGATAAGGATTCTATAGATGTGATTTTTATAGGATTCCGAGATCTGGGCCCGGGGGCCGATTTGAGCAATTTCGGGATTTTTGATGTAAATTGGATATTTTTGAGTAGGCTTTGTTCCATTAGAACATTTTAATGGTTATGTACTAATTTTGGTTAGATTTGGAGCATCCGTAGGTCGATTCGAGAGGGCAAAGGCATAGCGGGCTAGAGTTTGGACCGGATCGAGGTGAGTAATGATTGTAAATATTGTCCTAAGTGTATGAAACCCTAGATTTCAGCTCGTTGTGCTATATTAAGGTGACGCACATGCTAGATGACGAGTGTGGTGTCGTGCACTATTGGGGATTGTGACTTAGTCCATCCCGAATGATTGTTTTACCGCGTATTTGACTGAAAAATGTTTGCTATCATCATGTTTTAGGCGGAATTCCATATTTGGGCCTGGTGCCAACTATTTGAACCCTTAAGGGATTTTTACTGATATTTCCACACTGTTTGGACTTTATACTTGTACTCAGTCATGCTATATTTTACTATTTCATAACTCAACCATATTTACTCTACTTTAACACTCAAAATGATATTTTAAATAATATTTTGGGATGAGCATCATGTTTTACTATTGCCTGAGTGGCTTGTGAGATTCTGACTGAGTAAGGCCGAGGGCCTATGTTGTGAGGAAACACTGATTATGATTATGAGACCGAGGGCCTGAGATTTGTACGCCACAAGGTGGCTTGTTGATATGAGGCCGAGAGCCTATGTGATTATGCCACGAGATAGCTTGATATTGTGATTGGGCTGTAAGGGGCCCCTCCAAGAGCCCGCGCACCCCCAGTGAGCACAGGTACCCATTGTGATTTGAGATATAGCCCGAGTGGCTGGTGTTGTTCCATGTGTTTCCCGAGGGGATGATCCTGCTGTTATTGTGCCCGAGGGGCGGTTCTTTATGTGTTTATCTTTTCTAGTTGCCTGTCATTTACTCGTGTAACTGCTTAAAAAGAAATATTTTAAGAAGCTTAAACTGAACTTAAGTGACTTTACATATTTTTACTATTTCATTATTTTTACTGGCTTTTACTGCTTCTTTATAGCCTGTTAATGTGCCTTTACGTGATTTCTTATAACTCAATCTGCATTTATTATTATTACTCACTGAGTTGGAGTACTCACTTTACTCCCTGCACCCCGTGTGCAGATTCAGGCGCTTCAGGTCCTGCTTGCAAGAGTTGGGAGCTTTCAGCAGACTTCGAAGATTCACTAGGTAGCTACTCGGCGTTCGCAGCCCATTGCTTCTCCCTCTATCTTATTTCTCCTATTTTAGCTATGTAATAGTTTGTGTAGACTCTTTCAGACTTGTAGATTTTATGATAGATGCTCATAATTGGTGACACCCCGATGTTGGGCTATGTCTATTCTGCAAACTATTTGGTTTACCTTATTTTGGGATTTTTATTATTATGATTAAGACATAAATTTGCATTAATTAATTGCTTAAAAATGAATTGGGAGTGTGTCAGCTGGCTTTGTCTTCACGAGAGATGCCATCACGACCAGGTCCGGGTTTAGGGTCGTGATAAGTTAGTATCAGAGCCTAGGTTACATAGGTTTCACGAGTCATGAGCACGTTTAGTAGAGTCTGGTGGATCGGTACGGAGACGTATGTACTTATCCTCGGGAGGCTGCAGAACCTTTTAGGGAAAAAAAAAACTTCACATTCTTAAATTCTTATCGTGCGTCATTGATTCGGCTTGAAATGTAACTCTTTAAATTCCTTCCACGTGTTTGTATTCGCCCATGAGCGCTCAGTATAAGATATGCATCGATGGCTTGTGATTCCCTAATTGAGGGGCGAGATGTGATCTCTATGTGTTGACGTTGGGCCAGTCTGGAGGACTTGAGGCCGGGTTTTGCCTACAGCTTGAGCACTGAGGTGTTAATTGTGTGAGCATGTGTTTTTGAACTTATATGTTTGGTAGTGTCCCTATTAGTAGAAGTGATGGATGGCTGGCGATGTGATGAGTATGTTATGACTGTGAGATGTATTCATATGATTTGGAAGCGACGAGAAAGGTCTGCTGGAGGATAGAGGAACTATTAGGTGCTTGATTTCCATCCTGATTCATAGCCCCGAGTTATGGGTGTGTGAAGAACCTTTTCATATTTTCTAGTTGGGGGAGTGAAGTGAATTTCACGTTGTGATATGAGTTCAGACTTAGGAAGATCAAGTGACTGTGTAATGTCGATGATGGTGGAAGGGTATAAAGAGATGCTAGTTGAGGCGAAGCAGCTGGGTTATCTCCTGCAGATTGTGCTAAAGTTTGCGTAATCCTTTATGTCTTTTATGGGAAGACCTCTATTACTAGGGAAATATATGTCTTGCAATTTGAATTTGGGTCGCCTAAGAGAGTGGGTTTAACTATTATGAGAGTGCATATGAGATTTGTAGAAGATTTAAAGTACTAGAGGGTCTGTGTTTCACGAGCTTATGAAGGGTTGAGTTTAATCTCACTATGGTATTATGGCATGCGATAGGGTATATGCATTATGAGTTATTAGGTGTGTTTTGGTCTATGGCTTTGAGCCAAGTTGGGGGAGTCTGCTATTGATTATGTGATTGCACGGTTAGGTACTATGTTGGTTCCAGTTTGAGGCGTGTGGGTCAATCAGTCATGGTTTACGGAGATTGAGACCAAGGATGGCTCGAGTAAAGGAAAATTTTTACAAAAGTTATATTATGCTTCATAGGTGTATGAGAATCACGGAATGTCTTGAGTGGTTATTGGTAAAGGATATGTGGTGCATAGAATAGGAAGTTGCTTGGTTGCATTAAGGTGAGGTTACACTCAGCGGTGTCGGAGTGCTAATGAGGCACTAGTTGTTCATTTTATCGGTCTAATTGAGGTTTGAGTAGAGTGGATGACTCTCGAGAATGGTTCTAGTGGGTTCAAGATTTTACATGTAATAATTGGAGATTTTCAGGTTGTATGTTTGGCTAGAAACTGAGGTTTGCATTGGAGGGTGTCAAGACTCGTGGTATTTATATATCATTGGGGGTTCTATATAGCAGTATCAGGAAGGTGAAGGTAATGACTTTGGATTCGCAGGAAGTCTCATCAGGGTAGGTATTTCGAACGTGGTGCTTTTGGGAATATTTAAAAAAGTATTCAACGGCTTATGAACCTTAGACGGTGTGGCTTTATGCTTGGGTCTCGTGTGGTGAGTCTGGGTTGAGGAATTATGGTGTTGTAGAAAGAAGGAGTATCAAGTTGAAGGTAAATCAGAAGGAACTCAGGTAGATGGGTTAGCTTGGTAGTAGGCCGGAACGGGATGGTCAGGATATGATTAGTTCTTTGGATGCTTATGAAGTAACGAGTTTATACTAGTGTTTCACAATGATGCTCTTGGGTTTTAGTGGCCTGCGTAGCTTGATTAAGTTATAAGGATTCAGTCCTTACAAGTTTGGCTTGTGCAAAGGGGACTCAGAGAGTTCTTGATGATTTTTACCACGGTTTGGAGGTGTATATTTTCTACTGGCATGAGGAGCATGGGATGTATATTGATTCTTTCTCCTAGATGGGATCAAATGGGAAGTTCTTGGTTAGTTGAGTACATAGTTGCTTGTGGCTTAGAATGGATATGAAGTTCTCATGTTTATCTTAGGGTGGTATGGTATATGCGGTATGTTGTGTAGGATTGAAATTTGCATGTGTAGGGTCACGGTTCAGTTTTGAAAAGAAGGTTACAAATTCTTAGGTAGCATGGACAGCTCCAGATGATTAGGGAAATGA